CGTGTAGGTCCTGGAACCATTTTTATTACATTGGAAGCTGAGAGTCTACCTTGACCTCGTTGTGGTGACGGTGACCATTCAATATGACCATCTTTAGACTTCCATGTCTTCTCTTCTCTTGATGATGCTTGTTGCATGCTCTGTCTCTCATCTGATGTAGGGGATGGTACGGCAGACTCCTCCTCTGAATCCTCTTCAATGAAGACAAAATCTGGATCATCAACAGCATTGTCCTCTATCTCTGAAATATCCTCTGTCTCTGAAACCTCTTCTTCTTTTTCACTGTCACAGTCCAGAATTTGTGATACACACTGAGGAGAAGCTTGGGAAAGCCCTTTTTAACCCAAACACAATTCTAAAAGTGCAACCAGGACCAGTCAAAACAAAATAAATCAAAGACACTTTTTTGTTTTGCACCTGTGCAAATATATATACACATGAAAGCCTCCGGGTCAAAATGACCCACAACATCATGTTTGTATACAAAATGTACACAGACATTCCACAACACATCAGTGTGTCCACATTTTGCAGTTAGGTTCATGACCCTAAATGAGGAAAAGTCATGTAATTTCATGGCGAAAAAGAGTGGTTAACTAGTATTTTAGACAACGCAAAAGTGGAAACGGGTCAAATTGACCCACAACATAATAGGAGGGTTAAAGCTGGCGGTCAGCCCGTCCATATCTCTTTGAAACTGGTGTACCCCTGTCTTAGGGTGGGGTATCCCTTCCGCTGCTCTCACTACATCTATCTGCTTTGTTTACTAAATCCTGGCATTAGTAAATTATATCCACACACCACCAAAAACGAATAACATATTTGCATAAACATAACTAGAAAGCATGAATGTAATGACATTCTTGCTTAAACAATGCATTTCAACATTTCTCATCACCCAATTTCTATTACTTTTTTCACACAGGATACCCTGTACAATCTCTATCCTCTATTGCTGACTTTCCATCTAACATTACTTTTCAACATTTCTCAAATGTAATTACCTCTGTTATCAACTAAAATTATAGCCACCTCTTATGAAACCCCCAATCTGTAATTGTTTAAAATACAGCAGATATAGGTAACTGTCCTTTCTAAGTAGGCTACAAATAACACCAAACACAAATGCCATAGTTGACCAGCATATATTGAATTGATCTCCATAGTATTAATTTCCAATGTAGTGATTGACGTTCCTTAATGGAAACCCTAAATTGGCTTTGTACAATATTATATTAATTATGTCTCACCCATGATGTATGTCTACGTTTGGGTGAGCAAGTTCATATATAATTATTATTCCAATTATTATTTTATGAAGTCTCTAGCCTCTCAAATTCCCATCATCAAATATACTCCCAGCAGAACTGAAAAAAACAAAACAGACTGTGATTTCCAGGACACTGCCCCTTTGTTTCTGGCCTCACTATCTCCCCGAGAGTTGGCATGACTGAACTCCCTTTAGGTCTCTCTTAATGAGTGTTGCTGTGCCCCAGCCAATCAGGGTCTATTTAATGGTTCTGCTTATCTCTGGTCTCATTCCACTGAGGATTGCTATATTTTTAGTTGCTGATGGTAGGGCGTATCATTCCCCTGTCTCTGGTCTGGCTCGGGTATGCCACTGTTTACGTTAAACACATCTTTAACCCCCTTCTAAGTACTGGATGACAGTCTCACTATCCTCTTGTTTACACTTATGTACTTTAGAGAAGTCTGCATGACGATGGTAATGTTCTCTGAGGCTATTACACAATTCAGTTATTTTCCCAACATACTCTCCGTGATCGGCCCATGGCAAAAGTGCCCTCTGGGCATCCCCTGAAACCCACTGCCCTCTAACGGCAGCCCAAACCTTACTATTCCTGTTTTGGGGTGGGTCATTCCTTCTACCGCTCGGGCCACGTCCCTCTGTGTTCATGGGCCTGTATACATCTAAGGTTGCTGGGGCCCCTTCATTCCCTACCAATAGATTAGGTAACGCTATCAGTGGGTACTGGCCCCCTCCTACTCTCTCATCTCCTGACTCATACGGACTCCCTCCTGAGCTCAGCTCCTAACTGGACTTTTGTTGTGGGGGGTTCAAGTCTCCTCAGGGGCCTGGGTCTTCCCCCCTTCGGTCCCTTGACCCCCCTATTGTACCCTAGTACTCTAGTTACTTTCTTAGTAAGTCTCTCTCTCTCTCTCTCTCTCTCTCTCTCTCTCTCTCTCTCTCTCTCTTTCTAATTTCTGCAATGACCAATTGGGTTGCTGCTGTTGTTCTAAAAACGTCATACTGTTACAGAGGAATGTATCCCCTCAAATGTAATCTTGATAATTCCCGACAGTCTCATACAACAGGAATGGGTTCTCCCTCCTCACTTCACTCTTTCACTATATTTCTTTATCTCGGATTATTTGTTGAACATTACTGTTCTATAATCTACTACAGGTTCTCTGAATACAGGGTAGTTTCTTTTGGTAATGGCCTATTACCGTGAATCGTTACGGACCCACCCTGAGCAATCCCAGACTGCCCCAATTAATGAATAAAGACTACTGACCTTATCCTTGCAGCCGAGATTCAATGTAGGTTTGGATTCCATCACCGTCTCTGTCATTAATCAGGTGTCCTCTGGCCTGTTTTAACCCTTAATGTCAAAGGGCAGGACTTTCTATTTACGAATGTATCATTTGCCCGTCGACGGTTTTCAGAGTTACCTGGAATGACAGAGGCAGGTATTGGATTCCGGCTCAGAAGGACCAAGCTGTTATGATAATTATTTAACAAACAATTTCAGTGTCTCTGTGCGTCTCCCAAAAGGTTGTAAGTCTTTTGGATCAAGAAAGGGACAGAGCTCCCAGTTGCAATAGTCAGATCTTTATTCATTGAGAATTCTGCCACAAAATGGTCATACAATATTTTTATACGCACACGTCATACAAAAAACCCACCTCTCTGTAGGCGGGCTGTAGTTTTCCACTTTAAAACTGCTTTCCTGACCATCAGTTCACACACACACACACACAAACACACACATACACACACACATGTTCTTATCATAGTCGCTCTCCTCCCTAAATTGTGAGGCCTCTTTATCTTGGTTTCTCAGTTGTCTGTAGCCAGTTATCCTTGTCCTTTGTTGTCTGGTCTAACTCTTACTCACATTGCTAAATAGTAGCACAATGTCATAATCTTTACTGGTCCTACACTCACACATTACCAGGTAGTAGATTCTAACACATCTCACACAGTTTCGGAGTGTAATAATTAGTCACTTCTAAGAAAATACTAATCATACTTAAAACAAGAACATTTCACAACTATATTTAAGGGTGGAACATTTAGTCATTACTTTTAACCTGTATATATTTTAATTTCTATATCAAGACCCCAGCCACCTAAGCCATAGACTGTTCTCTCTGCTTCTGCACGGCAAGCGACTCCTGAACAGGCTCCTGAACAGCTTCTATCCCCAAGCCATAAGACTGCTAAACAGATAACAGAATGGCTACCAGACAATCTGAGTTGACCCCTGTATTTATTTGTATAGTTTCACTGTCTCTATGCACACTCACAGAACTCTACAGACGCACACACACTGTCGCTCCCACACACACACACACACACACACTCACTTAACTTGCTCAAACACAAAACATCCACACACATTTATACTGACTCTAAACACACACACACACACTCACATGTATTCATCATATACACAGCTGCTACTCTGTTTATCACATATCCTGATGCCTAGTCACCTTACCCCTATACATATCTATCTCCATCACTCCAGTATCCCTGTCCCCTTACCCCTATACATATCTACCTCCATCACTCCAGTATCCCTGCACATTGTAAATATGGTATTGGAACTGACCCTGTATATAATCACCTGACCCCTATACATATCTACCTCTATCACGCCAGTATCCCTGCACATTGTAAATATGGTATTAGAACTGACCCTGGAACTGACCTTGTATGTCGTTTCTTACTTCTCATCCTTTTATTATTTCTTATTTTTATTCCTCGAGTGTTTTTGTTCTACCTTGTGTTATTTTTATGCTTCATTGTTGAGTTTAGAGCTTGCAAGAAAGGGATTTCATTGACCTTGTGCACGTGACATTAAAACTTTAATTGACTAAATAGGATAGTTCATCCAAATGTTTCATACTTCGTGTCCAAATGATCCTAATGTATCTCAAATTGTGTAACTCAATTAAGTTATTTATTGATTATTTGGACATGAAGCACAAACAAATTCTAATATTGGGACTATTGACTTCATTTTGTAATTTGGCTGAACTACCCCTTTAAATATAAACATTGTGTGGACTCTCTTTACCAAATTCATTTGTTTTTGTTTTTCAGAAATGGTGCAGAAGCAATTTGATCATTTGTCCAGAGAGAGCTTTAAGAATTTTCCTTATCTTCAAAAGTTCTCAACGGTAATTAAAATAGTAAATTGTTAAGCACTCTGAAATGATAATCATACAATTCTGTATTCTGTGATTTTAGCCTGAATTGGAAATCTTACGAGGTTAGTGGGACTAGCAAGAAGGCAGGAAAACATGAGGCAAAGTAGCACTTAAAAATCACAATATTTGTTTGTGAGGAATTCAAATTTACAGGTTGTCCTTTGTAGGATTGTAGCCTGAAATGTTCAAAATAAAACACCACAAGATACTTAAAGCATGTCGAACGTAACTTTTATCTGAAACATTAACATTAGCTCAGCTGGTAGAGCACGGCGCTTGTAACGCCAAGGTAGTGGGTTCGATCCCCGGGACAACCCATACACAAAAATGTATGCACGCACGACTGTAAGTCGCTTTGGATAAAAGCGTCTGCTAAATGGCATATTATTATTATATTATATACTGCCTCTCTGCATCCAAGGTTCTTTATGTGCTCATGATATCTTAATCTTTGTTTAATCTCATAGAAAAAAATTGAAAGAATCCAGGAATATCAGTCAAAAATAGTGAAGGAGAGGATCAAGGAGCAGTTTGAGATGGAGATGCAGGTCTACACACAGGATGAAATCTTCAACAAGCATAATCTTGAGGAGGGGGAAACAAGAGACAACTCAGAGCACGACACCAGGAGCAAGTACCCAGGGCTGCTCAAGTCATACTATGAGGTACAATGCAACACAAGTACTGTAAAGTATGTTTTGCTTAAAGAGAATAGGAGGAGAAGTTCCAGAAATAAAATGTAATTAACTAAAACCTGCAGCTGGCAGTGCCTTGCAAAAGTATTCATCCCCAGTGGCATTTTTCCTATTTTATTGCATTAAAGCCTGTAATTTCCATTGATTTCTATTTGGATTTCATGTAATGGACATACACAAAATAGTCCAAATTGGTGAAGTGAAATTAAAAAAATTACTTGTTTCAAGAAATTCTAAAAAATAATTAACGGACAAGTGGCGCGTGCGTATGTATTCACCCTCTTTGCTATGAAGCCCCTAAATAAGATCTGGTGCAACCAATTACCTTCAGAAGTCACATAATTAGTTAAATAAAGTCCACCTGTGTGCAATCTAAGTGTCACATGATCTGTCACATGATTTCAGTATATATACACCTGTTCTGAAAGGCCCCAGAGTCTGTAACACCACTGAGCAAGGGGCACCACCAAGCAAGCGACACCATGAAGACCAAGGAGCTCTCCAAACAGGTCAGGAACAAAGTTGTGGAGAAGTACAGATCAGGGTTGGGTTATAAAAAAATATCAGAAACTTTGACCATCTCACGGAGCACCATTAAATCCATTATAAAAAATTTGAAAGAATATGGCACCACAACAAACCTGCCAAGAGAGGGCCGCCCACTAAAACTCACAGACCAGGCAAGGAGGGCATTAATCAGAGAGGCAACAAAGAGACCAAAGATAACCAGCTGCAAAGCTCCACAGCGGAGATTGGAGTATCTGTCCATAGGACCACTTTAAGCCGTACACTCCACAGAGCTGGGCTTTATGGAAGAGTGGCCAGAAAAAAGACAGTGCTTAAAGAAAAAAATAAGCAAACACGTTTGGTGTTCGCCAAAAGGCATGTGGGAGACTCCACAAACATATGGAAGAAGGTACTCTGGTCAGAATCAAATAAAATTGAGCTTTTTGGTCATCAAGGAAAACGCTATGTCTGGCGCAATCCCAACACCTCTCATCACCCCGAGAACACCATCCCCACAGTGAAGCATGGTGGTGGCAGCATCATGCGGTGGGGATGTTTTTTCATCGGCAGGGACTGGGAAATTGGGCAGAATTGAAGGAATGATGGATGGCGCTAAAAACAGGGACATTCTTGAGGGAAACCTGTTTCAGTCTTCCAGAGATTTGAGACTGGGACGGAGGTTCACCTTCCAGCAGGACAATGACCCTAAGCATTCTGCTAAAGCAACACTTGAGTGGTTTAAGGGGAAACATTTAAGTGTCTTGGAATGGCCTAGTCAAAGCCCAGACCTCATTCCAATTGAGAATCTGTGGTACGACTTAAAGATTGCTGTACACCAGCGGAACCCATCCAATTTGAGTTTGAGTTTGAGTTTGAGTTTATTTTTACAGGGACAGTGCACATTAATCAACGTTTCAGTAAAGGTGCCGGTTTTAGCCAGCCGGCTAATTTTCAACCGCAGTCCCTGGGCAGTCCCCCGGAGCTGGAGCAGTTTTGCCTTTAAGAATGGGCAAACATCCCAGTGGCTAGATGTGCCAAGCTTATAGAGACATAAACCAAGAGTCTTGCAGCTGTGATTGCTGCAAAAGGTGGCTCTACAAAGTATTGACTTTCGGGGGGTGAATAGTTAGGCACGCTCAAGTTTTCTGTTTTTTTTGTCTTATTTCTTGTTTGTTTCATAATAACAAATATTTTGCATCTTCAAAGTGGTAGGCATGTTGTGTAAATCAAATGATACAAACCCCCCAAAAATCCATTTTTATTCCAGGTTGTAAGGCAACAAAATTGGAAAAATGCCAACGGGGATGAATACTTTCGCAAGCCAATGTAGCATACTTATCGACAAACTTTCTCATCAGGGTCTTCCACAAATTTGGGGAGATCTCAACGTGTATGTATGGACTACAGCTAGCCTGGTACTCCACCCCAGAGACAGATTAGAGATTGGACACAGGTTTCTGCATCAAATAAAATCTATTGTATTCATCACATACACAGTTTACAGCTGGTATAAAAGGTGCAGCGAAATGCTTTTGTGCTAACTCCCTCAACAATGCAGTACCATGCTGATATACCGTGTGTTATAGGGATATAATGCACGCTCTAGAATGCCCTTCAAGCCAATCAGAAACGATTATTCAACAATGCCATGGTATATTCAATAATAACATTATGATGCATTTACATTACACAGTATAATCAAAAATGTCCATATGGCAGCCGTGTTTACTCCCGATGGGCAATATTGACCAATAGCTGTGTAACTGAAAATCTAGAATTTGAATTTGAATCCACATACTTGTCATTAATGGATAAATAGAATGCTCAAAGGTGGTAACATGGCGTCCGTTCTAAAAGTTGGTCCAACTCTCTATGTACAGTATATAGCTCTGCTCCAGCCTGTACAATGAATCCATGACATCATCAATGGGCATGATCAGATCTCTCATGAATGCTTTTTTGACAAATCTTTCAAACATGAATTGTTGTGGCAGGGTTGCTTTATGGTAAGTTGCATTTTGCGTACCAATCCAACTCTGAAGTCTATATGTTCAACTTGCTGAGCCTTGGTTGCCGTTTGGCAATATTTTGGTTGCCTTGTGGCCATCTCATCACTTCAGGCCCTCACGCTCCCTCCCACCTCACCTCTCTCAGCTCTTTCACCTATCTCACCTCTCTCACAGATTGTGGTGCAAAGACTGGCTGACCAGGTGCCCATGCTGATCCGTTACTTCATCCTCAAGCAGTCAGCCAAGATTGTGTGCAGTGAAATGCTGGAACTGCTACACAGAGACGACACTGATAACATCCTACAGGAGAACTTGGAGATCGGACAGTATCGTGCAAAGTTGCAGGCCCAAGTGGAACGCCTTTTACTGGCCAATGACAAAGTCAGCAGCCTCTGAGAGGGTGACGTCTAGACAGTTTCAAAAATCAGAGATGTTGCCAAAAAAAGAAACAGTTTAATTAACTGCTGGATCAGTGTCCCAAAATCGGGACAGTTGCTGCTCAATATGCGATATTTGACTAGAATGGCGTTGTTAACAACAGCCAACTTTCTGGGACATAGACATGTCTTATATCGTCAGAAAGCTTAAATTATTGTTAATCTAACTGCAGTGTCCAATTTACAATAGCTATTACAGCGGAAAAATACCATGCTATTGTTTAGGATAGTGTACAACAACAAAACACTTTTATCAAGGCAACTGGTTTGATACATTCACCTCTGAAGGTAAATAATGTACTTACATTCAGTAATCTTGCTCTGATTTGTCATCCTGAGGGTCCCAGAGATAAAATGTAGTGTAGTTTGGTTGATGAAATCAATTTTTATATCCTAACACGATCCATGTTTTATATATAGCGTTTTGCATGAATTCCGACTCTTTCAACTTGCAACAAAACAATTTATGAAATCTAACCTGGTCAAGTTTGAGTGTCTTATTGCCTATTGGTCCACATATTTCATTATAGTGATTGTGTTCCCCATACTCTATATAATATATACATGTTTATAAATATGTGTTGTGTATTTAATGTATTGATGCAGTGCTCATCCATAAAAGTATTTTACCACCGGGTAAAATAAAGGTGAAATAAAATAAGTAATAGTTAACTTGAGTTCTAACTAAATTTTTTAAAATCCTCAATAGTGGTAGAGAGTCAGATGACCTCTGGGAGCAAACACCAAAGAGACTAAATTCAAGTCCTCCATCCCCCAACTCATTTAAACGTAGGAACTGGTTCCTCCAGTCTGACCCCTCTGCGGTCTCTGGCTCCCCACCCACCCCCGCCCGGCCATCAAGAGGTGTGAAAATGTGTTCCTTTTATGTAGGGAAGCTAATGATCCGTCATGTATGACATTCCTGGGAGTGTGTAAACGTTATTTTTTTATTACCATAGCATTTTTGTATGTTCTCTATAGTTATGTACTTGAAAATGTATCAATTTACCAATTCGGCCACTTAGGTACATGTGGGCAAACTCGTGAGGGACACCTGGGAGACTCCATTCAAAATAGTGTGTAGCTCTCTCGTTCTTTCATGTATCAGTCTGAAACTTTGCATACACACTGTTGCCCTCTTGTCGACAACATCTGAATTACCTCCAGCTTCCTATCTCAATGTATGGCCTTGCCTTTTCATGTCAAAGATGATTCAACAAAAATTAAAATAGAGAACGTTTTTTTTTTTTTTTTTTAAAGTATTTTAACAGATCTAATGTGTTATATTCTCCTACATTAATTTCACATATCCACAAACTTCAAAGTGTTTCCTTTCAAATAATATCAAGAATATGCATATCCTTGCTTCAGGTCCTGGGCTACAGGCAGTTAGATTCGGGTATGTCATTTTAGACAGAAATTGAGATGAAGGGTCCTATCCTCAAGAAGTTTTAATAGGAGTATAACCAGATTTTTGGAAAGGGCACTAATGGCCAAATGCAATTAATTTTAAATAATGATGTGTAAAATAAGCTGTATTTTGTATATTTTTATTCAATAAATGTATAAGATCGGCTAAGATCAGTGAGATGTTATGTCTGCTGTACAGACGACCCCAGTGAAATCCTACAGGAGGAACCAGAGGGCGGCCGGAAACGCAAAAGGTTGCAGTACCAAGCGGATCACCTTGGACTGGCCAATGGCAAGACTAGTAGACTGTGGTTGACAATTTGTCAATGCAGAAATTCTGAGATGTAGCCAACAAAGACTACAATAATTATACCTACATTTGATCTCAGCATTCAGAAACATTGTAAATGATGGTCATCTCTACATTTTAGAGTTGTCAAAATTGTGATTCAGAGAAAACGATGTGACAGTTGTATCATCACATATCTGCAATGTGGAGCGTTATTATGTTTTCATCTCATAATGTACTAATGAAATATGTGAAGATGGTTGATATTATTATTTAAAGTGACAAATGAAACAAAGGTTGTATCCATTTTCTGATTGGTCAGAGCGCATCGATGTAGAGAAACACTATAGGATGGCATTATAACGGACTTGATGCCAGTTTTGATAAAAAAGTGAATAACAACCGTGATAATGTCAGGTTCCTCTTTAAAACTGGAATGGTTTAGTTATAAATGATGTTTAAGGAGATTTGAAGGAGATAAATACCTATTCTAAAGAGATATTAAACAGAGAAGAACATAGCAGACCATTACACTGCCCTACGTCTTTATTTGGACAAAGAGATATTAAACAGAGAAGACCATAGCAGACCTTTACACTGCCCTATGTCTTTATTTGGACAAATAGATATTAAACAGAGAAGACCATAGCAGACCATTACACTGCCCTATGTCTTTATTTGGACAAAGAGATATTAAACAGAGAAGACCATAGCAGACCATTACACTGCCCTACGTCTTTATTTGGACATTGAAGCTAAATTGTGTACATTTGGCCCCCAATTCTTTTTTTCCACCATGTCAAATTAATGTATTTTGTTAGATGTTTCATGACGCTTGTCTCTAAACCAAATTAGATCATTTTAAGATTGTTCCCGATCTAACATCTCTGGGGAGACCTGAAAATAGCTGTGCAGCAACGCTCCCCATCCAACCTGACAAAGGGGATCTGCAGAGAAGAATGGGAGAAAGTCCCCAAATTCAGGTGTGCGAAGCTTGTAGTGTCATACCCAAGAAGACTCGAGGCTGTAATCGCTTCCAAACATGCTTCAACAAAGTAAAGTGTCTGAATACTTATGTAAATGTGATATTTTGTTTTTCTATTTTTAATACATTAGCAACAATTTCTCAAAAAACGTTTTTGCTTTGTCATTATGGGGTATTGTGTGTAGATTGATGGGGGGGAACAATTTAATCCATTTTAGAAAAGGCTGTAACGCAGGGTTCTTCAATTCCGGACCTGGAGGGCCGAAACACTTCTGTTTTTTATTTCTACCTGGTAGTTAATTGCACTCACCTGGTGTCCCAGGTCTGAATTAGCCCCTGATTAGAAGGAGATGATGAAAAACAGAGGTGTTTCAGCCCTCCAGGACCGGAATTGAAGAACCCTGCTGTAACGTAACAAATTCAAGGGGGTCTCAATACTTTCCGAATGCATTCGGACTGTATTATAAGTGTGTCACTAATATAAATACCTGAGAAAACTGTAAATCTACACTGAGCTGTATAGGTGTGTATTCTGGGGCCAATCTAAGAAAAGGCTTCATTTGAATCCAGCTATCTCTATACCTATTATCAGAGGGAGGGGGACCTATATCCATGATCTTGACCAGATAGACAGATCACCTGCAGATGATGGAGAACCTTATAACTCTCCAGAGCTGTAACCAGGGTTTGAGTTTTACTGAGGTCTGGAAGGACATTGATTTACGGCATTTCTATTCAATAAAAACACATTCAAATGCTATTTGTAGAACAGCAAAAACAAGCAAAAATGACCCCAGCCATTATGACCGTGGCTGCTGTAGGTTCATTCACCTCAGTCCATCTACAAACACCTAGCCTATTAGCTATACAATTGTAATGATATACTCCTGAAAGGGGGAAATCTGATAAATTATTCACACTGGTATGTAGGATCAGCGATGAAACGAAAACGTAGGACATTTTTACAACTGTATTGTTTGCATTTTGATTGCATTTTAATGACGGCCTACAGGGAAGATAGGACCTGTGGAGCTGTTCATATCGAAACATATCCTCTTTTTTTTTTTTTTTTTGATAAGATTAGTACAGATTTTCTCAGGGGACCCTAAATGGGCAACGATCCCAAGTTTGAGAACCACTGTACTAACCACTCCCTCTGCTTGCTTACTTGTGGTCCTCTGTAGCTCAGCTGGTAGAGCACGGCGCATATAACGCCAAGGTAGTGGGTTCGATCCCCGGGGACCACCCATACACAAAAAAATGTATGCACGCATGACTGTAAGTCGCTTTGGATAAAAGCGTCTGCTAAATGGCATATTATTATTTATTATTGACTCTCTCTGTCTCCTCTGCTTCCTCCTCTATGCATTGCAGCCTGCCTCAGCCTCACCACTGAGCACCACATAACTGTCTGTCTCAGTAGCCTCCGCTCTGTAAAGCAGTAGTTAATATGAGAGCTTGGTACCGTATTCTTTGCTCCATTTTAACGTTAACTTCTTACTTCATCCTTCTAGCTGGCTAAGTAATACTAGCCAGAGCCCTTCAACGTTACTGCAATAGATTTCTCTGCCGGCAGCTAGCCACCTGACTGACTGGCATATCTACAATATAAGCGACTATTTACCAGTTGTCTGTTCATTCTTCAAGAGTAGTTTTTCGTTTGTTTGGGGGATGTCTGTAGACACGGCAGGAGTCGCGGGACGCTTTTAAAATGCCGTTTTGTCCGGCATCTCGCAAACACAGTGGATAGTTTGTTTGACGTTTCAGCCGTTTGAGAGAGTGGTGAACGTGCTGTTAAAAAGCAAAACCAGGAGGCGATCCAGGAGGCGAGCAAACATAATGAAATAACTACTGTTCGTGATTCCACTTGTTCGCAAAAAGGCAGGCTCTAATAGAACTCAGACAGATCAAGAATATAAGCGTTCTGAGCTTTGATCAAAGCTGGGAGCAATAGCCTATTTAGACGTTGACCCGTAATTAATTGTCTTTATTGTGAACAAAATATATATATTTGTATTATTATTATTTTCAAATTAGAAAGAGTCTCAGAGGTCTTGACGTCGGTGTCCTCATATGGAGTTACGGCCATGATACTCGACTATTTTACAACCGGTTATAACTGGTATGACAATGTACAAAATACAAATTACCTTACATATATATTCTTAGTTGCAGTCAAAACAGCTCATAAAAGTATGTCAGTGGTATGAATGCTCGGTAGAACTGTAATACAGAAACCAGCTACCTTCTGAATGTACACATAGTGCTATATTTC